ACAGAGCAAGACCCTCTCTAAAAGAAAAAAAAAATTAAAAGAGCTGGAGTATGCAGAAGAACTAACCCTCCTCTAGCCATACTTAGCAGTCCAGGGCAGGTACCATACTAAAAACTCACCTCGAGTCCTGCTTCTCCTATTGTGTTCCAGAGGGGAGAAGAGTCAGCACCTTGCTGGGCTGAATAAAATCAGCAGCAGCTTATTGTGCCAACTGTGGCACCGGTCTGTGGTGCCCTGTTTGGCCCTTGGCCTGCTGACTCAGTGGCTGCCCTGACTCTCCGAGTTTCTACTGAAAACCAAAGTAACGGACCCCGGGCTAAAGAGAAAGTGGCACCCACGAATCCCACTTGCCCTTCCCCTTATATGCAGCCTGTGTGCCTGGAGCTGCATGTGAGTGGCTGAGTATAACTAAAGGTGGTGGCGACAGTTCACAGGACTCTTCACCTCGTCACATTGGACGTTGGGACTGTTTAGGAAACCAAGCCACTGCTGCGAAGTGAGATCCTGGAGGAGTGAGTGTGTGGAGGGACAGTCAATAAGATGTTAAGTCCGACTGAGCCTGTTTGGCTTGGAATAATTCTCTAGAAGGAGAAGAGCCAGGCCTAAACCTTCTTGATGTGTTCCCACTTTCCAAGGCCTGCTGTCCTTCTCTTGACTTCTCAGCCCCATTTGAGGAATGTTTGAGTGCCGAGAGCCTGGGAGAGGCATACACTCCATGGGATCAGAGTCGGTGGCTGCTCCTTATTTCCAGAGAAGATGTCCCTGGCTTGGAAATTACTATTCATGAAAAAACACATGGATGTGGTCAAGTCGTCCCCCCGTCCCACCCCCGTGCCTGTCCGAGAACACCTCCGAGACCCCTGTATTTAGTGAACATAAGTCCTCCCTTGCTAGAGGGGGAACAGAGACTTGTAAGGAGTGAGTTTGGATTTTGTTTCACCTGGAAGAAAGTCTATAGTTGACTATTACCCTTTCCTCTGACCCACTTGAAAAAGCAGCTTGAGTTGCAGCAGCTCTGCTGAAATATTGTATGGCCTTTTGCCTCAAGGACTTTGAAACTAGCATTGTTGATTTTCCTTTTTCCTGGCAACTCTCCTTCCTTTTCCCCTTGGTGTTTTATAGTCACTGTCTGAATGATTTAAATACAGTAGCTCTTGGTATAGAAGTCCTTTTGACTTTCCCTGTGGCCTGAACTATAGGGATATCTTCTTTCTGAGAGTAAGTAAACACATTTAGAGCAGAAGCAGAATGGCTTTGTTGTCAGCAGAGGGAAAACTCCAGAAGCCCCCAAAGCGTCACCACCTCTGCTGCGTTGAAACATCCGCATCTCCAACAGACAGACCTCTGTGTTCCGGAGGCACCGTGCAAGATCTGAGTGTCTGTTTGTTATCCAACGGGTATAAAAGGGAGATCAAACATTCTTTCATATCATCAGAAGCCCTGTGCAAACATAGCACCATGGACAAAGGCCTTTCCCGAGACCATAACAAGGAGCTGTTTGTCCTGGCTGCCTGTCTTTAGCAGTTGGAGTAGGGCCAAGCTGACAGTGGTGTCGTGGGCCCTACTGCGATTTTGCTTTATTGGACCAAAATTTTACAGGTGTCATGGTACAGAGCTCACCAGGTGGAAGTTGAATCAGAGCACCTACTGGGAGCCTTCAGCCAGTACCACACTGAACAAGCTCAGAGCTGTGATGGAACCTGACAAAGAGCTTGCACCAACGACAGAAAAGTCAAATGATGATTCCGTTCGTTTGCCTTTGTGCACAGGGATTGACCAGCCACAAGTGCTGGCAATCAGGACTTTTGTCTGCCTGCAAATGATGCAACCACAGAGAAACCTGAGCTCAGGATCAAATGTCTTCATCTTCAGTCCCTTGAAGAACACAGACTTAACCCTGCAGCATCTAAACACTATAGAATGGTTGGGTTCTTCACCCAACAGCATTTTGGTCAGTTCTGCTCAGACCCTTGTGTTTTTCTGGCTGCTGGGATCCACTGAGTCCATTTATTCTGTCTCATAGACCGGCACTGCCCAGTCCATTTGCCACATGCTACACGTGGCTGTTGAGACCCTGAAAGCAGCTACTCTGAATTACAACATGCTGTAAGGATAAAATATGCTTTGAATTTGGAATATTTAGAACAAAAAAACTGCAATCTCAATAATTTTGTTATATTAGCTACATGTTGGAAATATTTTAATCTATTGAGTTAAATAACATATAGTATTCAAACTTGTTTCACCTGTTTTTCAGGGGTTTTTCTGTTTTTGTTTTTGTTTTTTAGGTGGAGTTTTGCTCTTGTTGCTGAGGCTGGAGTGCAATGACATGATCTCGGCTCACTGCAACCTCCACCTCCTGGGTTCAAGTGATTCTTCTGCCTCAGCCTCTCGAGTAGCTGGGATTACAGGTGCATGCCACCATGCCCAACTAATTTTTGTATTTTTAGTAGAGATGGGGTTTCTCCATTTTAGTCAGGCTGGTCTCGAACTCCTGACCTCAGGTGATCCACCTGCCTCAGCCTCCCAAAGTGCTGGGATTACAGGTGTGAGCCACAGAGCCCAGTGACCTGTTTCTTTTTACTTCTTTTAATGTGGTTACTGGAAAATTTAAAATCAATGTGGCTCGTGTTGTTTGTATGAGACAGGGCTGGGCTAGCACTTGAAGGATGTTTAGGTTTGTAGTGCCATCTGCTGGCTCATCCAAAGCAGACGCAAATGTAAACAAGAATGAAGCAGTCTGAGCTAACCCACACGTTGTCTCAGCCTGGCAGCACACAACCTTTTTATTCTAGGAGCTTCTGAAGCAGGACCAGACTGAACCCAGAAGCCACTAAATCCCCAAGAGCCTCGGAAAGGGGGGAAACAAACTGCTCAAAGGTGCAAGCCTGCGTCACCTCATGGGTGCCAAGGAGTCTCTTGAGATAGAGTAGTGACTTGCTTCTCACCTTCCGTACTTGGGGCTTTTTCATGCACTTTTTCATTGGTTGTTCTTCTTAAGAAATATTTCAGGCCAGGCATGGTGGCTCACCCCTGTGATCCCTGCATTTTGGGAGGCCAAGGCAGGAGGATCACTTGAGACCAGGAGTTTGAGACCAGCCTAGCCAACATGGCGAAACCCATCTCTACTCAAAATATAAAAATTAGGTGGACATGACAGTGCATGCCTGTAATCGGGAGGCTGAGGCAGGAGAATCGCTTGAACCGGGGAGGGGAAATTTGCAGTGCATCAAGATCATACCACTGTACTCCAGCCTGGGCAACAGAGTGAGACTCCATCTCAAAAGAAAAAAGAAAACTTTTCAGGCCAGGAATAGTGGCTCCCACCTGTAATCCCAATGCTTTGAGAGACCAAGGCAGGAGGGTCACTTGAGCCCAGGAGTTTGAAACCGGCCTGGACAGCAAAGCGAGACCTCATCTCTTTTTTTTTTTTTTTTCTTCTTCTCTCTGGTGCAAGACCTCATCTCTACCAAAAAAAAAAAAGAAAATTTTTAATTAACCAGCCATGGTGGTACGTGCCTGTGGTCCCTGCTACTCAGGAAGCTGAGGCAAGAGGATCTCTTGAGCCTAGGAAGTCAAGGCTCCAATGAGCTGTGATTGTACCACTCCTCTCCAGCCTGGGTAACAGAGCAAGACCCTATCTCAAAGAAAAAAAAAAGGAAATATAAACAATCATTTAACAACATAGCAAGGACACAGACCCATCCTTCAGGGACTGCTGTCCTTTCTTTAGATAATGCTTCTTTGCCTCGATTTGTCAAGAATTGGAATTTGTCAAGAATCAGAATTTTGCTGATTAGCACCTGCGGAGATGTCCATTGTTGCATCATAAATCACCCCAAACATAATGGCCTAAAACAACAGTAATCACTTAACACCTCTCACAGTTTCTCTGAGAAATGTGAATGTGAGTCAGGAATTTAGGAATGGCCCACTTGAGCAGTTTTGGCTGAAGATCTCTAATAAGGTGAAGTCAGATGTTGGCCGACGCTCCACTCAGCTGAAGGTTGGACTGGGACTAGAGAATCTGTTTCCAGGGTGGCTTGTTCAGATGACTGGCAAGGTGTTGCTGGTTGCTGGCTGGAGGCATCAGCCCCTCTCCACATGAGCCTCTCCACAGAGCTGCTCGAATGTCCTCAAGGCATGGCAGCTGATTTTCTCCCTAGCCAGCATTCTAGTAGGCCTAAGGGGAAGCTGCAATGCCTTTTATGACCTAGCCTAGAAACTATACTACGGCTGCCTTCTATTGACCAAAAGGCAGGAACATGCATTGCACTTCTTGACAAAGGAATGTCAACGTTACATTGTAAAATGGGAAAATAAAGCCTGCTAAAGTTCCAAACACCTGTATAGCACTGTATGGCTTTTTTTAAAATGCCTTATTTTTCAGATGAGGAAATTGAATCTCAGAGAGTTGGAGTAGCTTGCCTGAGATCTCATGTCTGGTGAGAAAGATGAAAGCCATTTTTACTGACTCCTAGTACATGATGGTGAAGCCTGTCCAAGTTATCTCCTCCTAGGATGCTATTGCAACTAAGAATCACACTGGTTTTTTGTGTCTCCAGCATCTTCAAGATATGTGGGGCTCTCTTCATTCAGGTGCTTTAGATATGTCCTTATGTGATATCTCCCTATAAATGTCGTTTGATTGAGTTAGGCTGTAGGTCTTATAGACGTACATTTCAACTAACTAGAATCCTTCTTACAAAAGACCTACATCAATGAAAAATGACACATTTTCCAATAGTATTCATGCCATTTGCTTCAAAAATCTCAGAAACAATGACATTACAATGTATGTGTTGTTACTCTGTTTGATTACCCAGGTATTATTACATCTTATTTGTCTTTAAACAGGAAATAAATAATCACTGCTTGCTTTCAGTAGTTTGCATATTACTTGGTCATCGTAAAAAGGAGGTTTTTTTCATTTTTGATCTTCCACCTGCCAGAATTAAAATTCAGCTGCCATAATCATTTCCTGTTATTCTTGGTTTCAGGTAAAACTTCCTTTTCCTGTAGATCAGATCACAGATCTTCCAAGGAATGATTTCCAGATGATGATTAAGATGCACAAGCTAACCTCAGAACAGTTAGAGTTCATTCATGATGTCCGACGGCGCAGCAAGAACCGCATCGCGGCCCAGCGCTGCCGCAAGAGAAAACTGGACTGTATTCAGAATTTAGAATGTGAAATCCGCAAATTGGTGAGTTGTCCCGTCCATTGTGATCAGCAACCTGAAGTGACCAGGACCAATGTAAAGTAACCGCAATGAAAGTTGGAAAAGCAGAAAGAAGAGTCACCCTTTGGGGAAGTTTGGGTTTACTTTTTAACAAGTTTCTCAACAAAAATAATAGCTTTACATCTGCAGTGTGTGTGTGTATGCACGCACAAGTGTGCAGGTGTGTAATGGTGTGTCAGTATTTTATATCCTTCGGCCATTATTCATATATAGGTAGTTCTTTTTTGTTTTCCATTCAACATGTAAAGATAGCTGTGTTGGCCAGGTGCAGTAGCTCACGCCTGTAATCCTAGCACTTTGGAAGGCCAAGGCAGGTGGATCACTTGAGGTCATGAGTTCGAGACCAGCCTGGCCAACATAGTGAAACCCCATCTCTACTTAAAATACAAAAAAATAAGCTGAGCATGTTGGTGCATGCCCGTAATCCCAGCTACTTGGGAAGCGGAGGCAGGATAATCACTTGAACCTGGGAGGCGGAGATTGCAATGAGTGGAGATCGCATCACTGCACTCCAGCCTGGGTGTTAGAGTGAGACCCTGTCTCAAAATAAATAAATAAATAAATAAATAACTGATGTTAATTATGAGCATCTATGGACAAGGTATTCCTCAACTGTTTTTGTGGATGATCCCATTTAATCCTCACATTCACGCTATGACTTAGGTACTCTTTTACCCTCATTTGCAGAGGAGGAAACTGCAATGCAGAAGGATTGGGAACTTCCCACTACTTGGTAGAACTTTAATGTAAACCGATGTGTCTGATTCCAAATTGTGTCTTGTACCAACTGCTTTCTCCTGCCTCCTGGCAGAATAGAATGGATTAGAGATAGGATGCCTACCTGCAGAGGGGCTGTTGCTCAGGAGATGATCTCATGGCATCCTTTGCAGCCCCAGGGTCCTTTCTTTTGCAATTCTGCCTCAAGGTGGCTGTCATAGTCATCCTTGCGCCTGAGAGTGTTTTGTCACAGAAAACAAACTCCTGTCTCCCAGGCTCCCCTATACTCAGAGCTATGTGCCCCCACCTCTTCTTGATAAGCAACCATATGGTACAGAAAGCAAATCCAGTTGACCTCTGGCCCCTGACTCTAGCTTTGAAGGTGACCAACTCAACCTCCTTCAGCTCTGCCTGTATGCTGCCAAATAACAGAAACTCATCTCAGGTGCCATGTCTGTGTCAGGCTGAAGAAGAGGAAGCAGTCTGCATGGTGTGGTCATGATCTAAGTGTGGTTCCTCAAACTGTTTGCAGCACTCCCTGACCTCATGGTGAGCCACCAGCCCAATGAGAACCAAAGCGCAAGGATGAGATGTTAGAAAAGCACAGGGTACATTATATGTTATCAAGATAGCCCTGGACTTCAGGGTCTTTTTTTTTTTTTTTTGACACTCACCAAGGAGGGAAAATGTCTGTGTTCAGTAGCTCCCATCACCAACAAAAGAAAGTCCAAGCTTCTTAGTAGAACATCTCCTGCCCTTTGTCATCCAGTCTGTAGCTGCCCCTCCAGTGTCACCATTCACCCCATTCCTAGGACTTGATCCCTGATAAAATCAAACTCTGCAATTGTACCTATGCCATTTCCTTTCCACCTTGGACATTCCTCTACTTTTTCTGTCTCCTTTTTTCTTTAAGAGTCAGGTCATGGCTGGGCACCACGGCTCACACCTGTAATCACAGTGCTTTGGGAGGCTGAGGCAGGAGGATCACTTGAGGCCACAAGTTTCAGACTAGCCTGGGCAATACAGCAAGACCTCATCTCTAAATGAATGAATGAGTCAGGTTATACATACCTCTCTAGGAAGCCCCTTTCCTGAGTTCCCAGTTAGGCTGGGCACCTGCCCATGGAACCCTGATCTGATCACTTAGTCTTGAGTTATCTTTGCACATGTCTGTCTCCCTAGCCCCCAGCACTTGACTGTAGGTTCCTCAAGGACAAGAACAGTGACTTGATCATCTCTGAATATCCAGTGTTGGACCCATTGCTGGTGCCCAGAAAATGTCTTTTGCTGTAAAATTTACTAGACATTGTGACTATTCGGTTCAGGGGATTATGAGTTTCTTCTTCCTTTCAAATACGTATTTAAAGTTGTTTAATTTTGTTAAACAACAAAATTTAATTTAAATCACATAAGGAAACAACATTCCTGCTGTGAGTGTGGGTCTTCTGAAAGCCTGCTGGGCTTAGGTAGAAAAGTCCACTGGGTGTAAGTCTACAGGGTCCTAGGCACATCTCTGTAGTGTCTTGCACTCCTCTTAAGGTAGTAAAATAACTTCAATCACCAACATTTGAGAAATGCCTGGTTTTGGTAATTCACTTTCAGCTTCATATAATTTTGCAATACTGAACAAATAAAATCTAAGCTACAGACGAGGCATATCTAAAGCACTTTGCTAGCATTTTTCAACTAAAAAACCAAAAGAGCATCATCTAGTTCTCCAACCACTTTTTGGCATCTCCTTAAATAAGATGCCATGTTTCAGTGCCGAATGAGAACATGCTTGTCAATGTACATCTGTGACTTAGAGCTTCGTGGTTTTAACCAAGGCATGATTTATAATGCCTTTCCTACTGCTGTCACACACAGCACCTCATTTTCTTCCCCCTAGAAAGTGGCCTGGAACATTTAACAGATGAGTAGGCTTGGAGGGGTCAGTGCTTTGGCCAGGGCAATGTGGCAGAATGAGCCTGGGCTTCCTCTTCCAGCATCCAGGCAGTATTGCCCCTCACTTGGCAGATTTCTGGATTTAAAGGGGAGAGCTCCAGGTTGCACAGCTTACCTTTAAAAAGCTTACCCATGTAAGCTTTTTCCCCAAGGAGACCTCCCAGATGTGTTTTGTTTCTTATCTGGGGATACTGTGTCCTGGCAGGGATGGCACTGGTGGGCAGAGCAGCTTCCGCCTCTCCCCAGCCCCACCCTACGCAGTCCCCAGCACGCCCTGCACTCACTCCCCACTCCCACGCTGTCTCCCACACACCCGCCACTCAGCTGTTGCAAACTCACATAATGTATTTCTCTAGAGTTGGACTTGTACATCTGTTTATTTTTCATTTTTAAAACATGTTTTCTTGATAAATTTATAAATATTTTAGCAGGTGCCCTATCCCCATGTAAATCTCTCTTTCCGACACACATGCCCACGCCGCCTGCCAGACTGCATTCATGTTACAGCACGTGCAGCTCCCGTGTCGAAGACTTGTTCCTCGTGGGTGTCGCATGCCTGTCCCTCCCTCTCTCCTCTTCATTTTCTCTCCCATCCTCTCCTCCTGCCTGCGCTTGCAAAGGGTTGGTAAGAACTGACTTCATCCTGCTTCAGATGCCTCTTTTCTTCTTCCATTTCATTGTGTGTGCCTCATGGAACCCCATCTCCTCCCCTCATTCTCACACATTTTTTTTTTTTGAGACACAGCCTCGCTCTGTCGCCCAGACTGGAGTGCAGTGGTGTAATCTTGGCTCACTGCAACCTCCACCTCCCAGGTTCAAGCAATTCTCCTGCCTCAGCCTCCTGAGTAGCTGGGATTACAGACAGGCACCAACATGCCCAGCTAATTTCTTGTATTTTTAGTAGAGATGGGATTTCACCATGTTGGCCAGGCTGGTCTCAAACTCCTGACCTCAAGTGATCTGCCTGCCTCAGCCCCCCAAAGTGGTAGGATTACAGGCATGAGCCACCATGCCTGGCCCCCTTTTCCACAAATGTTGATGGTAAAACCTTAATTAGTCTCTACTCTGCTGCTGAAGTCATCTCTCTGTTGGGATGGTGAATTTTAGTAACACAGGAGCATGTGTAGAATTTTGTTTAAGGAGAAGAATATCTCAAAACCTTGGGCTAGTATGCAAGAATTCAGACTCCATACTTCCTTCTCCCTTCCTGAGTCCAGGAGAATCGCTGCTTCAAACCCACTGCACATTCCTCAGCTGTTCTGGAGAGGGTTGTTCCTGTTCAATCTGCTCTGCGACCAAGGTCAGAGAGCTGGCTGATGTTCATTCCATATGAAACTCGGTATGTTAGGCAATTGCTGATGACTTTTTTTTTGTTTTGTTTTTAATAAACTATTTTTTTGGTGTGGGGGACAGAGTCCTGCTCTGTCACCCGGGGTGAGTGTTGTGGCACCATCTCAGCTCACTGCAGCCTCTACCACCCGGACACAAGTGATCCTCCCACCTCAGCCTCCAAAGAAGCCTAAACTACAGGTATGCACCATCACACCTGGCTAATTTTTGTATTTTTTGTAGAGAAGGGGTTTTGCCATGTTGCCCAGGCTGGTTTCAAACTCCTGAGCTCAAGTGATCCGTACAACTTGACCTCCCAAAGTGCTGGGATTACAGGTGTGAGACACTGCACCCAGCCTGACAGCCTGACTTACTTTTTTTTTTAATTTTGATTACTGTAGCTTTGTAGTAAGTTTTATTTTATTTTATTTTTTAATTGCATTTTAAGTTAAGTTTTGGGTTACATGTGAAGAACATGTAAGATTGTTGCATAGATACACACATGGCAGTGTGATTTGCTGCCTTCCTCCCCTTCACCTATATCTGGCATTTCTCCCCATGCTATCTCTCTCAAACTCCCCACCCCCCGCTGTCACTCCCCCATTTCCCCCCAAAAGACCCCAGTGTGTGATACTCCCCTCACTGTGTCCATCTGTTCTCATTGTTCAATACCCGCCTATAAGTGAGAACATGCGGTGTTTGATTTTCTGTTCCTGTGTCAGTTTGCTGAGAATGATGGTTTCCAGGTTCATCCATGTCCCTACAAAGGACACAAACTCATCGTTTTTGATGGCTGCATAATATTCCATGGTGTATATGTGCCACATTTTCCTTGTCCAGTCTGTCGTCGATGGGCATTTGGGTTGGTTCCAGGTCTTTGCTATTGTAAACAGTGCTGCAATGAACATTCCTGTGCATGTGTCCTTATAGTAGAACGATTTATAATCCTTTGGATATATACCCAGTAATGGGAT